ATGACACAGTGGGGCAAGATTTGGTCCTGCCTGCACAGAGGACTGAGCCAAAATGACCATTTACTGTCCAGATCGAGGTCTTAGGGCAAAGGCAAACAAAAAGAGCTACCAGTAACACCATTTCTTGCAGCAGTGTTCATTTATGCCTTTAAATCATTTCTGGGGAGCAAAGAGCTTGAGTTTGCACAGCCCTTGAGAGACATGGTGTCTGAAATCCTGTTATTTCTTTTTTCTCCTTTCTTATTTCTTTTTCTCCATTGTCATTCAGCTGCTCTAATTCAGTGCAAAATGTTGTTTGAAGAGGTTTTGGACATTGCTTTCCACAACAACCATTGCACAGCTGAGTTAGGACTTGCTGCCTGTACAGCAGAAAAATAAACCGGGCTAAGGTTTCTTCAGTTCAACAGTAATGGAGTGGGATTTCTTTTAATTTAGTTAAATACTGTTGCTTGACAGAATGAAATCTGATCTCTAAGGTAGAGATTAAAACTGGTGGACCGAGTGCAAACTATTTGGGTTTTTTAATTATTCTTCTGGTGAATTATCCTAATTAAATTTGTCAGACAATCACAGGATATACCACTTGTGTAGAAATTGATAATCACTGGCCATTCATCTCCTGTCTAGTAGCTTTTATATTCTCTAGATAAAAATCAGATGAACTGGAAAAGCAAAATATTGGAGTTGATGCACAATCACCTAATTAACTTTTTCTTAAGCACTTGGAGAAACATGGAGTAAGTGGAGAAATAGTGTATTTTTTTTTACAGAGCTTTTGCCAAATGATGCTGTTGGTCACACCCAGTGTTGTACATGAACACATTTTGCTGGATGAAGACCCTGGCACAAGATATTGTTTGGAAAGGAGAGGGAAGACAAGGCAAGGCAAGGCAATGCAAAGAGTTTTCTAACTTTTTTTCAGTATGTGTTAACAGATAATTGGCCATCTACTGGACAGAATATTACTTCACCATCCTAATAACTTGGCTGCACATAAAAATCTTTTCATGCTGCAGCTTGGCTCTGAACCATTAACTTTTTTCTTAATAACAGCAATAAAATGAAAGTCAGTCCACAATTAATTCTCTTCACCAGACTCCAGTGACCTAAAATATGTAGCCTCCTTTGGAATTCTGTCAAACTCAGTGGTTTCTGATGGATATTATTTATGCCTCCATGTATGCAAACAGCCACTCATCAAGTTTTTGATAGATACTATTAAGAATTTATATTGTACATGTCTAAGCTTACATTTCAGACCTCTGTGGTCATATTGAAGAAAAGGATTTTTGACTTTATAAACCATCATTTGCAATTTCATACACCAGATTTAGTTAGCAAATAGCTTTCTCTGTTGAATTTAATTTTTTTCTGCATAATAGCCAAATGTCCATTACTGATAGAGATACCAGAAAGCAAGAAGTAAGATCAGATTAAAAATACTGAATGGCTTTATTCTAGTTAAGTTCCTTGATGGAATGATTTTGAAAAACAGACATTTTAAAACTTCCAGTAACACAAAAACTCCACATATATTTGAGAACTGCTTTTTTTTCCCCCATGCAGGATGCCAAGAACCATGACCCTGCCCTCGTGACAGTCCCCTGTTTCTCCTCCTGAGCTTCCAAGCTATATTTGTGGCTCCCATGGAACATGTTCTGTCCCTCTCCCCAGCCTGTCTGCAGGAAGGCAATGAGACAGGGCATAACAGAGCTGCTTCTGCTGCTGCAGCTATCTGGGAAGACCAACTGGAGTCAGAAAATTTCTCTGAGCTCCACTAGGAGACCAAAGAAGTGCCTGGAGAGACACTCCAGAGGCACTGCAGAGTAAGGGAGGTGTAAGTGTAGCTCTCCATGCATGATGTGACAGTTCTCTGTGCGTGCTTTCCCAGGGCACCTGGGTCGTGGTTTAAACCCAGAGAGCAGCTGAGCCCCACACAGCCACTCACACCCCCATGGCAGGGGAATGGATGGAACTGAAAGACTAAATCTGAGAAAACTCATGGGTTGAGAGAAAGATGCTTGAATAGGTAAAGCAAAAGAAATGCATGCAAGCAAAGCAAAACAAGGAATTCATTCACCACTTCCCATTGGCAGGGAGCTGTGCAGCTCTCTTCAGGAGAGTAGGGCTCTATCTTGCGTGATGGCCACTTGGAAAGACAAGTGGCATCACTCTGAATGTTCCCTCTCTTCCCTCTCCTTCCTATACATATATATATATACCGTATATAGCTTTATATGCTATATATGGTATGCAATATCCCTTTGGTCAGTTGGGGTCAGCTGTCCTGGTGTCCCCTCCCAGCTTCTTGTGTCCCTCCAGTCTCCTTTCTGGTGGGGTGTTATGAGGAGCAGGAATAGCCTTGGCTCTGTGTAAACTCTGCTCAGCAGTAACCAAAACATCTATTTTGGATGGTTGGTAACAACACTGTTTCCAGCACAAATCCAAAACATGGTCCCATACCTGCTACTATGAAGAAAATTAACTCTCTCCCAGCCAAAACCAGCTCTACCTGCCTTTCACCATAGTCATTCAACCAGACCAGAGAATATGGCTTCAAATATTTATCAACAGCTGCAAACTGATGAGCCATTTTAGACACAGCTGTCCTGAGCAGGATGGGTTTGCATGTTCACTCAAGCATTTAAACCTTTTGTCATCCATTTATTCACAGAACAATTACTGGGGGACTGTGGAAGGGAGCAACCTTGAATTCTGGTTTCTGCTCCCCACAATCATGATGTGGAGAGTGAAATGTGTTCATCAGTGAAATGCATCTCAGCCATGGCGTGGGGCTGGGAGTGGGATACCTCCCTGGTGTCCAGGGCCAGCCTTGGGCCCCTTGCTCCCAGAGTTTCCTACTGCTGCCAGCTCCTGCTGGGGCAGTGCAGGTGTTACATTTTAAAACTTCCAGTAACACAAAAACTGCACATATATTGGGGTGGTGGGGCTGCCCGTGGCCCGAGCCCGCTGCTCCTGTGTGGCAGGAGGCCTTTGCTCCCTGATGTGCCTTGGGGCCCATCCTGCACTCCTGGCCAAGGCCACCCAGGGTTCTGCAGGTCCCAGGGTGGGCAGTGAGGCACCAAGCTCCTGACTTCCTGTGCCTCTGGCAGCAAGACACCTCGTGGCTCCCATCAGGACAGTCCTGAGCACGGGGAGAAGGCAAACTGCATCAGCCCAGCTGGTATAGGTCCAATGCAAAGGTACTTGCCCGGTGCCTGGAGCCTTAAGAAAGCCAGGAGGGGGTATTTTTATTGCATTTCTCCCTGCAGACACTCTGTGTCAGCCCACCTTCTCCTCTTCCTTAACTCTCCCTTGTTTTCAATTCCTTCCCAGTGACCAGGGACCAGCTCCTGGTGTGGTCAGAGCCATGGCAGGAAGGAGAACGACCTTCACGTTCCCTCTCTGTACAGCACAACTGCACTGGCTGCTCATGCTGTTAGATCATATTGCAAATTCATGTCTAATTTGACCCTGAGGTCTCCTCCAGCATTGCTGCTTTCTAGGATTCTCCCTCCCTTTGGATGTCTGTGTTTCAAATTACGTTTCCCTGGGTGTACTGTGTTACATTTTCCCATGAATGCTGTTGTTATTTTCCAGCTCTATATTTTAAATTACACTACTACATTTTAGTCACTACTACATTTATTACCTCTGTTTTCATTGATGTGCTCAGCTCCTCCTGACAGTGAGAACTGTGAAAATAGAATTGTAGTACTACTGCGACTTCTTTGCTGTTGCAATTGTCCAGCACATTTTCTCTCCCTCTGTGCTTCATTGAAAGCATTGAAGACACCCAGGAAATATCCTCTGTATGACACAAGCTGTCAGATTGTACCTTTCCCAGCTTCCATTAGTACCTCTTCAGCACCTCTTTCCTTTAAAGTCAGTTTTTAACCAATCCATCAGGCCCATTTAAAAATATGTGAAGAAAGAGACCTCAGAAACACCATCTGCCAATACTTCAATGAACCTTACACTGTGAAAAGTTCCTTATTTTCTTAGACTGAATCTATACTGATTTTCGGATATTTTGCAAAGGAGATCCCTTGTGTGATGAGTCATCTGGTTTCCACACATTCCCAGCTCAGAGGTGATGTCCCCTGAGGCCTGGATGGAGCCTGATGCAGCAATCAGTTGCAGAGACAACAACCAGCTGAACCTTACCAGGACTGGACACCAGTTTTAGTGAAGTTAAACTCTGGATTGCTGTTGGCTTAGTTGGCAGTTGCTTTTTCTGCAGCTTATTTGACATTAGGCTTTCTCTCAGTTTTCATTACAGTTTTGATTTTATATTTCAGTAGGAGTCTAAGTTAAGAAAACTTTTTTCTTTAGAAAGTTTTCTGTATTTTCTTTGCTCTCAGAGACAATCCCGACATATTTGTAAGCCTTTAGGGTTTTTTTCTGACTAATTAGAAGAGGACCTCAGGCTTCATCTCCCTTGTCTTCTAAAGGATCAAAACGCTGTGCTACTGAAAGTCATGGGCATAGTAGAGTTACTCCTAATAAAGAAATTCAGAACAGATGTAACATTGTATTCTTAAAACAGAACTATTAAGGCAGCTTTACAGGACAAAACAATAGGGTGGGGAAACCTAAAGTGAATGTAATACATTGCAACAAGTTCTAGACAATTATGTGAGTGTTATACAAGCAGTACTAAAGGGAGGGATAAGAACTGAACTATGTTTTCTGCTGCATATCCTGTGTGCCCACAGCTCACATCAACCATTCTAGAACCCCCAGTATTTAGTAGGGTTTTGAATTTGCTGTTTGTGAACAGTTCCAGATCAAACACATGTACTTAGGGCAAGTTTCCTCTGAGGTTTCCAGGGCTCTTGAGAGCTAAAATTGCAAAGAAAATAGATTCACATAATGCATTCATTTCACTGTCTCAAGGTGCTTTCAAATTTTATCCCAATTCTGTTCACAGAATTAGTTCACATGCTCCTTGCTATGCTTTCAGCCAAATGTTTCTATTGAAAATTCAGCATAACAGAAAGTAAATAAAAATGAATTATTTTGGAAATAAAAGTGCAAACAAAGCCATTGATTTCTCAACACTATATTTTGTAAACAATACCTCCATCATAAAAATATTTTAAAAAGCCATCCTCTCATCAGATGAGTCCCAAGAAGCTACCAGTTACCTCTTGCCCATGGTACTGCTCAGTCCAGTCCTGTTTTAAAGACAAAACCCCGTGGCTGGTGGCAGGATGCTGCTGCACTCTTGCTGCTCTATTCTAGTTTTTCCAACACCCAGCAGAGAGAAAGTATTTCAGTGTTCAGGCTTTCCTTAGTGTTGAACGTGACTGGGAAGACCAGCAGTACAATTGGAGCATTGGTAGAAGTATTTATCTGTGTATAATCATTGGTAGTCAGGTCCAAGTCTTATAATACATGAAGGCATCAGAGGGCACCGCTTTTGCTTTTCCCAAGAGTCAAATGTTTTGTTCCTAAAGCAAACATAAAAAAAAAATAAAAAAAGAAAGAAAAAAGAGAACAAATCCCATGATCCCATTCCCACAGGACAGATTTTATTCTCATTTGCTCTAAAACCAGGAACATCCATAAAGTGGCACCAGTCCGACTGTGCTTAGAATCAAATTTCTAACCTTGTACTTTCAGGTAGCTCACAGCATTGAACTACTGCAGTGGTAGCATCAGGTTAAATCCTGTCTCACTCAATTTTGCCAGAGTATTTTCCATCACCTTCAATGTGGCCATGATTCCACACAGAATATTTTGCTTTCTTAAAGGGAAGAATTTGCATTCACTCATCTTAAAGAAAGTTGATTCACTTGCTGGAAGTACTGCCTGTGCTGAGCACAGAAACACCAACAGGAAACAATTGGCTGCATAAATCCTCACTGTTGGTTTTTGAAGTAAGTGCGGAGAGTTTTTTCCGCTGACTTTACTTCTCATCTTTGCAACAACCTAGACATGCTTTAAACATAATCTGTGTGCAGAACAGGGTTAAAATATAAAATATCACAAACCTAAATCCCTACACCAAGAGAACAGGGACTTGGGGAGAGAAACTGCTAAACGCTTCTTGTCAGTCTAGAAGCTATTTCACAGCTAAACCTGCTCATTTCAGAGATTTATTTTGCTAGAAAGGATTTTAATCTTCACATTTCAGTTCCTCAGAGGAGGCAAAAATCTTCCAAGTGCAGAGTCTGCAGCAGCGGTGAATCAACTATTGTAATATGCTGCCTCTTAAAATACTTCAGGGTAGTCAGGCATTAGGAAGGCTCCTATTTTGTGTGAACTGATCAAATACAGATGTTGCCAAAGATTTGACCTTATTGACCGTGACTTAACTAGAGATTGAATGGCAGACAGACGGTCAGTAGTAGGGTGAAACCATGTTTTGGCGGTATGGTGTAAATGTATATACAGTTTACAGGATGTGAATGACACCAAGCAAACATCTGTTCTATTGATAAATACTTGTTTTACTTCCAAAAATTTTTATCCCAGGGAAACGGTATGTCTGTATATATGTATGTGTATGTGTATAACACATTCTGCCCAATATTGTTAGCTGCCTTGTGTGCATGCTGTGGTCCTGGAAAAATCCTTGAAATAGAAAAATATTAAAAATTGTACTAACTTTTCTTTCTTCCTGTAATATCAGATTTCATATAAAACTCATCAGCTGAGCTGAGTATTAGTCTTGATCAATGGCAGGAAACCAGGGGATCAAATGTTAATAAATCAGAAACAGATACCTCCACTTGAGCAGAGATATATCACCAACCTGAAAAACAGGGCAAATTATTTGACAAATTTTGTATGCATATACCTAGAGAAAAAAAAAGTATTTTCATAAGACTCCTTGAAAACTGAAACAAAGGACAAATGTGGAGAAAAAGTAACCTAACAAGGTAATGAGCATAGAACATGAAGTCAAAGAGTCCTAAAAACACCTTTGTTTTCTTTTGGATTGACATAATAAAAAAAAAGTTTAAATGAAAAGGATTTTGCTAATACAAAACCAACATATTTAGATTTGCAAATTAGCTCTGTCCTACTGCTATGTGCTGCTCTGGTGAGAGTAGTGAAGTAACAGAGTAGGCCTGGTTTAGTGTGTTGTACCTTTGCTCAAGAGCTAAATAGTAACATCACAATTACAACAAAAAATATACTCCAGGTTTGAAGTGCTCAGAGAGACACAGTGCTTCCAGAATCTTGGAAACTTGTAAAGGCATGAGGACCAGCTTTAACTTTAATATTTTTAAGGTGTGATACTTAACTCTGTTACCTCAAAGTTCCTTATATTAATTTCAGACAAGCACCCTTGGAGTGTGGTCTTCTCTTCAAATTGAAACTATTTGCTCCTGTGCATAGCCTGCTAAATTTAATTAGAAAATCCTGGTAGGCCAGCAGGACAAAATTTCCCTTCCTTCCCATTTTCCCCTTCCACAATATATCACCTAGAGTAATTAGGACCAGCGAGGGATCATCTTCACTGGATTAACCTTAACTAAATTGTATGCATTCAACATGTGCTCTTTTGATTAACTTGAGCCTGGACTGCTGCCTGTGGTACACCCACCTTGTAATTCTACACACTTAATTAATTTCAGATGAACAGTAAAAAGGATAAGCTGAATTCTCCAATTAATAAACTGATATTAGTTAATGTATTTTAGCTTAACTTTTAATTTTCTTCCTGTGTAGGGATAGGAAAAACAGAAAACAGGAGAGGGGTGGAAGGGAACAAGTTTTGCCAACAAGCTTGTAAAGACTTTTCAGGGCCTGATCCTGCTGCAGTCTAAGCAGATATCTTTCCCCCTGACAAGGAGAGGATTTTTGGCAAAAGAATCAGTCCCTACATTTAAAGTATAAAATGAAATAGGCAGGAACAGGACTTTTTTTCTCTTTCAAAATGATAAATAAGCATTACTTAAAACCTCCTCACCTTAACTCAGTTTTCCATATGGTTTCACTCATGCGTGGGTTTTCCTCCTTATTAAAAAAAAAATACTGTAATGTCACTGGCTATGGGCCCAATCCTCCAGGCCTTAGTCCCACAGGCTAAGGCTATTTTTCTCTTCTCTACTGTCATGGGGAGCTGCCTAACAGCCCCATCCTAGATGCATTTACCCAGATAAGTAGCTTTGCTTTTGAATCCAGCCCTTGTGAATTCAATAGTATTTATCAGAGGAATTAAATTACTCATGTAGAAAAATATTTACAGGAATAAATCCTAAAAATGTTACTGGAAACACAAAGAAACATCCAAAGAAAGATGCGAGGGAAAGACTTCTTCCTAGCTCTTTTTAAACTGGCTTTTGAACGGAATTAATTCAGTTGCTAATTATTAAGCAGGGCTCTTAATCTTCTCTGAGCAAATTGAAGTGAATACTCAGTTTCTTGTTTTTCATGTGTAGCTCTGCTGAAATTTCTCTCCAACATTGGTATGTGTGGTTTCAGTAAAATTGATAGGATAAAAGTGAAATCTGCAGGAAAGTATTTTGCTGAAATGAAGTTTGGCTGTTCAGTGTCTTACAGGATTAAATATTGAGTGAGAGTAAAATCTAGTTCACATAAAACAAGAAATATACAGTCAGATATGGTTTTTAATTAATTCTGTCTCTGTAAAATCATTCACTGTTTTTCATCTCCAGAAATCAATATTCTAACAAATGCTGCCAGAAAAATACAACAAATATTAGCTATATAATTCTATGGAAGATATTTCTAAGTTAGATATCAACAAGTTGTTTGTGCATTATTTATATTGACTGCCAGTACTTGGTTTTTCTACTAATAAGAATAACAACAAAGCAATAAGATGGCCTAGCAAGATTTTTGTTTCCAAATTACTATTTGATTACTTCAACAAGTCATCAAGTGGTATTTTAACATTTATCTATTATGAAAAGATAGTAAATTATTTTATAATCTTCCAAAAATCATGAGAAATTTATTAGGTAGAAGCATTATATAAAATTTCTCAAACATCTAAATAGTTAATGAGACTTTTTCTCTCTGCAAAATGTTCTTTGACACCTTAATCACTTCAGTAATCTCCCAATTCTTGTGGATACTTTTGACAGCTTTACCTCCTACCTGTAAATTTTTTAAAAAATCAGACAAAACAGTCTGAATAGCAAAATCCCTTATAAAAAGGGAGGAAGATAGAGAGTCTTAAAGTTGTCAGTACTTCGAGTCATTTTAAAACCAAGGAACATATGAAATTCCTGCCAAATTTCTTTTGATAAAATTAATTTAAAGAAAAAAAGTTAAAGAAAAGAAAAGGCTTACATTTTTAAGTGTCTGTTTACAAACACTTGTGAAGATTCAAAGACTGCTCATGATATAGAAAAACGCAACCGAGAGGGCAGAAAAGAAAGGGTTGCTTAATATTGACTTACCTTGTAGCCAGTTGGTGTGCGAGATCTTCTGGCTGAATACATTGTTTTTATTAGTGTCAGGTACTTGATTTAAAGTGAGACCCCGTCACCTTCCAGAGAGATTTTTTTTCCTGGAGAATATGCACGTATCTATTTATCTATTGAGTGCGAGTGTGTATATACACACACCTAGCAGTAGGCCTGGTTAGTGTCGGCTTGACTGAGAAAGGATGTTAGTAATTACTATTTCTCTAAACACTACTTTAGCATGGTTTAGTGTATCAGCTGGCTTCTGCTGCCAGAGTACCCGTGCTGCCTACTGGAAGTGGCTGTAACACCAACATCCACAGTATGAGCCGTTCCCATCTCCAAGGAATTCAGTGGATTTGCTGTTGGTTCCTGAGAATGGGAATGTGCTTAGCTGTGTTTCAGGGTGTCCGTGGGGACAGTGGGGACCATCTTTTTAGTGTTGCATGAGAAAGTCCAGGACTGGTGTAGGACACAGGCTGGTTGCTGGACTGGTGTGTGCCAGATGGGAGAGACTGGAATCTTACCCACACCGCTTATGCCCACTGAGCCAGAGCAGTTGGTCACAGAGGAGAAATTAGGCTTTGGCTGATGCTGAAAACAGAAGTTACAGCAGTTCTGTAGGACCTGGAACTTTCCCCACACATGCACAGGGCTGCTTTTGCAATGGACTTTCTCTGGTTCCCCGTTCTTTCCTTATGAATGTGTTTTCCAAGAGTCACCCTGAAACAACGAACGCAAGCTGAGAGCTGATTTACGCAACTGATGCTGTAAACTCTTACACAGCTATTTTCCCTTTTGCAGGCAACATTTCTACTGTTTTACAAACACATCAAGTGAAGTTCTCTTGAATTGACACTAAGACAAAAAACAGCCTGTGTGCATTAGCAGAAGAATGAGTCCATATTAAGAAGAGCTTCTGGTATTACATTTTATGAGCCCAGTAAATCAAGAACATTAAGGAAAAATAGGACATTGCTCTTTCATGCGGTGTATTCAACACAGAAATTTTCTCATGCAACACTAAATGTGAAAAAAATAAGTAAATTTTCCCCTCATATTTATTACTTTATAGTTAGATCACTTTTGAATCTCTCTTACCTCTGAAGAACTGTTTTTTCTCTTTGATAAAACAAACCTAAAGTTTTTGTTTTGTTTTGAGTTGTGGGGTTTTTTTCCTAATGTTTGTATTGCCTCCATAGTACCTTTCCCCTGAAAAGGTAAAGCTTGCCTGGTGAGGTGTTACACAACACTCTCCTTTCCCATGTTCTCTATGTGTGTTGATTTTCTAAAACAGCTCTTGAAACTCTCCTTTATGTGCTTGAGAGGCTTCCATAGTTTATCACCAGTTGGAATGTTATTAATGTTTAATTTTTACCTGAAGTATTCGGACATCAAATAATTAATCTCTATTGTTCAGTTTTGACTACAGTATTATTAAACAGTCTATTAAGTAAAAAAGAGACCTAGGGAATGTATAAAAAGGCATAGCATTATTTTGATGACAGCTTCCTGGTGGTCTATCATATACAAAACCAGCTATTAGGAATATGTTTCAAACTGGCATCGTAACACATATTTCATAGTAGTTAAATTTAATTGTATAAATAGTTACTGACTATATTTGGACACTTAAAAAAGTGAACGTGTAATATATCACCCCACGAAAAACATTCACGGAACATTCTCAACAACCACAGCTAGGAGATCACCTTCATTTTTTGTCAATAGTATCTACAGCAATTAGCTCTGATATTGAGCAAAATTAGAACTTGATCCTTCAAGCATTTATACAGATGAGTAGTCCCACAGGGATCAATCAATATCCTCTGTAGTCATGGAAATATTCACATGCAATCACAAGTATCCATTTTTCAGGAATAGGGTGTTTTTTCTAACAGTGAGCCATTTTTAGGGTTCAGTCCTTTCTCTAAATTTTGGTAGAACAAGCCATATTAGTCAGTGTAGGCTTTTGAGCAAATGCAAGATAAATTCTGAAAACAGTAAACATATTTTTCCTTTTAGCGCAGTGACTGCTCTTAATATTAAACCCTCTACTTCACATGAATAACCACCCAGCAGGGTGATACAGAACAGAGGACAACTCAGGCATAAAGTGATTTTTCTGCAGCCTACATAGTTCTTTCAGTATTGACATGCACTCTGCATACTTTCAGATGTTTTCTTAAAAGTGAAGGTAATGTCTTGGTTAGGTGCAGAGTATTCTTGCACTGGCAAGAGCCAGTGAAACGCAGTGCCTTTTGCAGCAGACATTTCTATTCAGCTGGAATATTTCTATTCAGCTGGAATACAGTTGGTACTATTTGTTGAATGACTTCCACCAAAGGTAGAAGAAAGATAAAGCTGCTGCTTTCAATTATGCAATCAAGAATGTAAAAAAGCAACGTTCTAGATCTCATATGGAAATAATTATATTTGATAAACTGTCTCAAACAATAATAGTGTTTGTGCTAATCACATTTTAGAAGGCTGCTATTGTTGACTTTGCTGCAAAATGGAAAACAATTAATTATAAATTTTGCTGACCTGTCTCAAACTGTCCTGCTTAATCAACTCAGTTCTAAATCTTTGTTGGCTTAGACAATAATCCAATATGCTAGTTCCACCAGATTCTCTGCCATCACTATTAAAGAAATCAATATTGAAGCTAAATAAGACTCCTACTAAGGACTCTGTAGTAATGACAACCTGATACCCATGCTGCTATCAAACATTGTGGCTTGCTTTAAAATCATCTGTTGCATTCACCATCATAAAGATCAAAGCTCCAGCTTTTGGGACAAGGACTTTTAAGATACTCCCTCTTCATAGATGTTTCAACTCTCTGTGGCAGGTAGGGGCTGAGATCTTCCAGCTCTAGATGCTATTGAGAACAGAGCACTCTGAAAATATGTTTTGGTCACATCACCACATCAGCTGAGATGTCTCCCCTCCCTCCTTCCCCTAGGAGGCTGCTCTCCCTGGCTCTGCCCTCTTCCAGTGGGGATCCCCAGCCCTGCCTATTTAACCAAAAGGGATCCCCATCCTGCCCACCTGCCCTTCCTGGCTCCATGCAGGTCAGCCTGTGCCATACCAGCTCCAGAGCAGTAGGCACTGCCATCTCCCCTGCCCTTGCAGGAACAGGCAGCACACATACAAGTACCATGAATAGTTAGTGTGAAGTGGGCTCCACAAATGTCACCAATAATCTCTAAATTAGGCAGCATAGAGAACAACCTGACTACAAATCCAGCAAGGAACAAATGTGTTTAAATATCAGTAGGAAATCTGCTGTATAATTGCTCATGGAAATTGAGGGCTAGTGAATTAATCAGCATGAATCTACTGCTAAGCAAGAAGTAGGAATCAGATGATCATCATAAATTATAAGAGGAGGTTTCTCTCTCTAGTTGCTTCTCCTTGAATGACTGAGACAGCATGAAACCCTATGTCTATTATCCTAATTAGATCCTCTAATCTTATAAAAGATACTACTTCTGAGAGAAAGCCATGTGTATAAAATAAAACCATGCCATTTTGTCCAGTACAGATAATCACCAAAATGGTTATACCTTTGTAAATTAATTAAAAACATTCATGGAAGATTAAAGCTAGAAGATATTCATAGTTCAAGATACCAGAATATCACATCTTTTCAGTTTGCTATTTTAGGGGGGAAAAAAAAGTCTCAACACAATGATTTTAACTCATGTTCTTATTTTCCAGAAGCTTTGGTTTTGTTTTTTTCCATTACAATTTCCTATAAACAGATATATTATAAGTAACATACTTACACTTCAGGAATGTCTTCATTTTTATCCTGGCATTCACATCTGTCCCTGTTTAATGCTCTGCTGGTGGTCTGGCTCCATGGTATGCCCACTGCAATGTTCATCTTAAACAATATTTACATTGATTAGGGACCCCAGTGCACTAGAGGCACTTACTAGGAAACGAACACAATACCCTGGGATAACAGCAAATGTCTAACTGTTTTATTTTTGAACTTTTTAAAAAAATGTATTGTTTAAGTGTATAAACACTGTCAAAATGGAAAGGTGGTGGCAAAGAACACTGTGTGAATGTATAATATAAAAATCTGTGTGGAAAATGTGCAGATGATAAACGTAAAAATGGACACAGTGATGTATTTTTATTCAGATTATTATAATATGTGCTGCAAATCAGAACATTTTCTTCTATGTGTATGCCCAGTAAAACTCCTCTTTCTTGACACTAAAATCTTATAGGCTTAGTAACATAAAACTGGAGTAGGAAAGCATATTTGTAAAAAGAACCCAACAATCCTATGGCAGGATTCATTATTTTGCCTTACATCACATAACATGTTAGTGGCAAAACCAAAGTTGAAGCCTACATTTCATTCTGAGTGTGAAGAGTGCCATAGGGATATAGAGGTCTTTTCAGATTGAGGGCCTTACCTGCTAAATTTGGAAATATTCCAGATGAGTGGTACTATGGAACGCCATGACAAAGCTCTTGCAAAAGCAGGCTGAAAAAATCAGAGAGTAGCTTGGGAAAATTGATTAGCAGGCTTAGTATGGGACCCCAAACCTTCAAGTGGGATGATATTCATTAAGTCACTAAAGAATAGGGACCACAGTCTTAGTGAGGAGAAACTGCATAAACTAAGAGGATCTTTGAACAATTGCTATTTTTGGTCTCCCAAAAATCTAGAATTCATATCTGCCAAGAGAAAAATTTAAATGTTACTGGGTGGGAACATTGTTTTGGTGTTCAGACACACTTCGAGCATAAGCAGAGCAATAATCTGCAAGGAGTCAGGGAGAAGGGATGTCAGATCAGGGGGTGTTTGAAGCTCTGAACTTGTCAGTAGGTTTTCTCTCCTCAAACTTCAGCCTCTTGTGTCTCCAGTTGCATCCTGCAAGGAGAAAGTTATTTGGAGGAGAGAATGAGAAGGATCATTTATGTCTTTTTCCTGTTCCAAGTTGCTGAGGGGCTTCATGTGCATACTGAACAGGCCAGTCCTGAGAGCAGCCACTTCTCCGGGACCTCCCAGGAAAGAACAGTGTGTGATTGAGAGCAAAGGCTGAAGCCACAAAGTCCAAATCTCTCACTCCAATCTGAGCTCAAGGAGAGCATGTGTCCTCAGTGTGCCATGCCACAGATGTCAGAGAGCTCCAGTAACTTTAAAGTGGTCATAGAATAAGGAGCTGATCCATCATTGTAATCGGGGTATCATATATGAGAGATGATGGTGATATCTAAAAAGCAAAGTCTATCTTCTTCTGGCTCAGAATAACAGCTTCTGTCTTTCTATGAAAAGTTGCTGGAGCAGTCGATGTTCCACAGAATTTTATTCCTGTTAAGAGAGACAGTCTCTTTCCAGCTTTCCCCTTGGTTCAGAAAGGGTTTGAGGTGACTAGAAAATTCTTAGCTGAGAACCACGATAGCAGGAAACAAACAGTCCTTTTTTAAGACAGCTTACAAATTTGCTTTTATGCATACAAACTGTGTATGTGCTTATACCTGTTCAAATCTGTACAAAAGCTGATCCATATATCACTACCTTAGCAAAGCTCTTGTGCTGATTTATTAGCTGATGAGTAACATGCATTCTGCTGCTCTTTACTAAAATGTTGTTGATGATGAGGAAGAGGGAGAGGGAGATAATCTATTTTCAGCAAAAGATGGAAAAGCACCCCCCTGAAAAATATCCTTTTGAGTTAAATTATGCTCTTGTATTTTTTAATCTCCGAACCCTGTACATAGCACATGAATGATCCCAAAAGCTTGGGGATCGGAAAAAGAAGTCATTAAATGCTGGGAACCAAAGGAAAGTTTACAGGTACAAAATGCCACTTTACTGCAGCATATGAGTAAAAAACGATCTATCTGAAAAAGTGATTGATTCTGACATATGTGAAGTAGGTATCAGCAAATCAAAAGTGATCCCTCTAAATCTTGTTTTGCAACATGTGTAAAATAATGCAAGCTATATATTTAAATGCAACTCAAATTAAATATGGTTGTGTTCAATCTGTCTGTGAAATGAGATCTACTGCTACTTTTTTATGCAGCAAAAATTCCCTAAGACTGTTTTATAAACTCCTTCCAGTTTATTTTTTAATATTAAAAGATGGAAAAAGGCCTCTCTCTGTTTCGCTGTTCTCTACCAGTGAGTCATGGGTCCCTTGTTACTTCGAGAGGAAAGTTATTTTAGTAATTCTGGAAATAAACTTACTGCTGAGTCAGCATCATAACAGAAAATGACAAGTTTCAAATTAAGAAACACATTAGAAATAAGTAATGGTGTACTCTCAGCCTCCCCTGTTAGAATTGGCTAGTGTGTCAGGAGCTGATTTAGCAATTTCCATATGTATTGGACATGAAAAAGGTATATAGCCAGGACAAAAAATCAGGTTCATTTAATGGAAAAGAGGATAAAAGAAACCGAGGTAAAATGTAGGGTAAAGATGGAAGCGGCCCTAAATATTTTACTGGCCATGGCACTCCACCCTGAAATGCTTAAATGCATCCCTAAAGTAGATCAATATGAAGAGATTTTTGCTTTCGCTTTCTCTGCTAGGGGTTTTCAAAACAAGCAATTTTAATAGCATTTCTAAGTCAGTGTATACTTACAGATAAACCACTGGGATTTTGCTACTCTGTTTATCTGGGATTCTAGATTTTACAGAGCAAATAATTGGAAACAAAACATTTCCCAGCAATCAGTCTACTCTTTCTGATTTGCTAAACATGTCCATATGTAGGTATTGCTTGTATATGGAAGATTGGTAGCAGTTTTAAAGGAGAAATATGCTACAACTGCAAATTCAAGCAGTCATTTGGCAATCATATGGGGAAGCCTTTGCAGGTTTTTTTGGTAAAGGGAACTCAGGAATTTAATGCTACTTATACCTGAATATTGAACAACGTCTTAAATGGCATAATTTTAGTCTGTTAGAATAATACAATCAATTTTTCAAGCAGTACAAAATATCTTGCTGTGGAGGAGAAAACTGCTGCATCCTTCCCCTCTGCACCTTTGGACCTGATTCTGCCCTGCCAATTGTCCACAGATCACCTCTGCAGCCACCACTGCGATAGCACCAACACTTTGTGTTTTCTGAAATCTGAAAGAGCTTTTGTTAGTGACTTGTTTTGACAAGATTCAAAGGCTAGTGAAACAAATATGAATCCTAAGACTGATTTCAATTTAATCTGAATTTCAGTAATTAAAAAAAATTAAAAAGCAGTCTCTGAGAGGCAGAATTTCTTAAAATATTGCAGTTCTCTGATTAGAATTAGTGTTTCAGCACAGCGAAACGCTCCATATTTGCACGAAGTCCCTCCTGACTGTACAGAAGCTCTTGACTGGAATCTTTCACTGTCTTTATTTGTTTCTTTTCTGTCTTTAAATACCTCACTGAAGAGCAGACCTGAGGTTTACTGAAGTCTTCTAAAAATACATAAATATTTTCCACTAGTAATAACATGGTACTAAATATTGAAATTACTTTACATTTAAAGTGTCACTGTGACTTAAGATACAAAATTTTTGCAGAAGAGGAGAAAATATTAATACTAAATAATGTGCTTGCTAAATAATTTTTACACAGAAAGTATTTAAAATTATAGCTTAAAAAACTCAACATTAACATTCCCTGGGATTTTTTACTAGCAAGTGTCACTATGAAAGATAATGAAAAAAACTTACTGTAAAACCTCTGAATCCTTTTTGTTTTCTTTCCTTCTCTCTTGCTGTAGCATGAATATGTGCTGAAAAGTCAGAATGGTGCAGAAGAAAAATATTCCAAGACACTGTAAAAGTGCCTTTCCCTTTCTCTCAGCCCAAGGGAACACTGACTATTTCAATAATCGGTGCGAACTCTTTGGTTATGATTTCTGTTTCCTTTCTCTGTTTCTCCCTCCCTCTCAATTTTTTCCACCATCATATGAGTGTTTTCTCAATAAAGGAAGTAGAAGAGCTGCATGACAGCATTTATTGAAAGAAAATATAAAATATATATTAAAATGAGAGAGAGTTTAAAAAGAAAATATGAGGCAGGAATTGCAGTCTTAAGAGAAGGGTGGAAAGACGGCAAATCCTACAGGAGAACAAATTATAAATACTGAGCTTTTGCTCAGCATGAAAAGCAGCACCTATAGAGAAAAAATTCCATGCGTTTTACCTTCATCCCAGCTTCACTGGGGATCAGTGCTCCGACTGGAATAACTGTGAATTATCGTCACTATAATGGAATCTGCAATTTACCAAAGGAGCAGGAAAAATGGACTTTTGCTAGAACTTTCATACTTTTCACTCAACCTTCACTAGTCAGACATATGGACTATGTTAGCACTTCAGGTTACTGGCCCAAAGTCAACATTGAAAATTAATTTCCCAGAAATACAGAAATTGCCATTTTTCACACCTTAGGTAAGGAAGGCCAAAACAAGTAAAGCTAAAAGTATTCAAATGCTAGTTTCAAATCAGTTGATTTCCTCTGAAATAGCAGCTATACCAGGATGACAGAAATTTTTGTAAACAAAGGCATGTGACCCATTGCAAACCTGGTTATAATTATGGATTTCAAAACAGTATCTAATAAGCCGAGATCCAGACAGCAGTGCACAGCAGTGGAACACGTCCAGTATTCATTAAAGATGTCCAATCTAGAAGTCCAGGGTTTAAAGACAGTTTTCAGACACAATTTTCCCACTTGTCTCAGGAATAAGGTAGAATAGCAAAAACAGAGGTAATAAAACGTGGTCAACCTCAATGACTTGGCATGCATTCTTGGCAATAGCAAAATAGAGAGACCACAGCTTAGCTCTGAGAGTGAACTTGCAACACCCTGAATTTTGCATCCTTTTTTTTCCTGTGGCTGTTTTTGTTGGACCAAAAAAATAATCCATTTGCCCATATTTTCAAAGATGACACACCAAAACCTCATCTACCATAAAAATATTCTTAAATGCACCACTGTCTCTGGGAAATAGCACATTTTTCACTGGGAATTATTTTGATTCACCAATTATCACAAAAAACTGGAAAGATATATTGATATCCAGTAAAGATGGTAGAAGAATTATGGCATGGAAGGATAAAATCATAATCCTTTACTTGGCTTTTTTATTATGGGTTTTGGGCCCATATGGGAACACCTCTGGCTAGTTCGCCTGCAGTCTCTGAACCTGTAAATTCTGGATGGGAAATAAGGCTCTTGGAGGTAAAAGGTGAAGCCCATCAGTGATAGACAGAGCAGACTTGTAAAATTCCATATCTGCTATTGCCACAAAGGGGGAACATGTCCCAGTGCCAGAGTGGGAAATATCCGGATTAACTATCCAGCTTATGGTTGCCAAAATGAGAACCAAAAGTGCAGTGTGTGAGTACATCCATACATAATCATCCAGATGAGCTTTTACCTTTGGGTTTCATATTTGTAATAACTTGTCCAAATGTCAGTATAATTTACAGTAATAAAGCCATGTGCATTTGCTATTATATAGTCATTAAAAAAAAAAAGCATATTGGACACATGACAATGGTAAACATTACCTCCAAATCGTACT